CAATTCAAAAAGGATGTGGAGAAGCTTGACAGAGTCCAGAGGAGAGCCATGCACATGATCAGAGGTCAGGAAAACAGACTTTGTGATGACAGGCTGAGAGCCATGGGACTCTTCAGCCTGGAAAAGCGCAGGCTCAGGGGTGATCTGGTGGCCACCTATAAATTTATCAGGGGTGCTCACCAGGATCTGGGGGAACATCTGTTCACCAGAGTGCCCCAAAGGATGACAAGATCGAACGGTCACAAACTCCACCATAACTGATTCAGGCCGGACATAAGGAAGAACTTCTTTACTGTCTGAGCCCCCAAGGTTTGGAATAGCCTGCTGCTGGAGGCGGTTCAAGCACCCACTTTGAACACCTTCAAGACGCATTTGGATGCTTATCTTGCTGGGATTCTATGATTCCTGCTGACTTCCTGCAGGGGGCTAGACTCGATGATCCTCCGGAGTCCCTTCCAGCCCAGATGTCTATGAATCACAATAGCTGTGTGGAAGCTTGCAAGCCCTGACACTTGCACTGTGGCCAACCAGTTTCATTGGTGTGGGATGGGCAATAGCATCCATGGCTGTGCACAAGGTGTGCAAAGCCATATTTCAAGAGCTAAGATGTGCTCTGGTAACCACAGGAGTAGGTTACCATATATCTGGGTTTTCCTACAAGTCGTCTTTTTGGGTCCTCCCATCTCCATGCAGATATTTTTTAAAAAATATGAACAAATGCCCAAGATTTTGCTGGTACTACTGCATTTCCCAGCTTGCTCTAGTGGCCTGTGTGTTTACTAGGGATCTGAGTTTTCCATTTGTGGTAAAACAGATTTTCTTCTTTAAAGGAAGAAACCGCATCTTTCCCCTTGCACATGGGCAGCCTGCAAAGCACTGTTTGGGGTGATTGGAGGCAGAGGGCACTATGTGTGTCTGTGTGCACATATGCACATGGCTGGCATGTGGCCAGGCAGGGTGGTGGGAGTAGCCTTGGAAAGGGCCAGGGCTTGGGGACTGACTGGGTGGTGGCCATGACAGGGGTGTATGTGGTAGGGGATGGGTGTGTGAGGGGGGTGGGTCCAGTGTCCTGCCAGCATTGGAGGATGGCGACAAGGTGCTGGGGCTGCAGTAGGGCATGGGGGAGGTGCCTGCCCCTCCAGCAGGGGAAGAGGGCAGAGAGGGCCTGCTGGGGGTGGTGCCTGGGAGGGACTATAGCCAAGCTGCTTGGTGGGGTGCAGGAGCCCTAGCCCAGGGTGGGGGGTGCCCACAGGCCTCCCTTCTTCCTTCCTTCAGCCTACACAGGGGCTGGACTTGCTCTGCTGCCAACTGCATGAGCTGGAGCTGCCACAGCCTCTGCACTAGAGCCTGGTCAGAATGGGGTCAGCCTGGAGTCCCCTCTGGCAGGGCTGTGGGTGTGGAGGGGGGCTGTGATTTGGGACTGAGAGGCACTAGGGTGGGCAAGGGGCTGTGGGTTGGGACTGCAGGGCACTGGCAGCACCAGGGGGCTGTGGGTTGGGAGTGAGATGCACCCCACACAACAGGTGTCCTCTTTTTTGCAAATGGAAATATGGTAACCTGACATGGGTCATAGCCAGGTTTGAGTTGAGTTCCCAAACTCTGTGGGGGGGGGGGGTATCAATGGAAACCATATCACCATTCTGTGCCCCCCTCCCCCCAATGCCATGGAGGTTATCAATCACAAGGGGTCCTATTCCTTTATACTGCAGGAGTTGTGGCCTACTGGGGTCACTTCACCTACATCAGTGTCAGGTGGCTGAGACAGGTGCATGATGCCTGTGTGTTCAGGAATTCTGGTTTCCTAGAGATGATGAAGCAGGGGGAGTTTACTGCCAGTGCTCATCCTCCAGGCTGCAGCAAACCCACTTCTCCCCTGACTCATGCAGCCATATGTTGGCTGGCTGGACTCCAGGAAGGAGTACTTCAATTTCTGCCTAAGCAGCTGCCAGATGGTGATAGAATGCACTTTTGGGTGACTAAAGGTGCTCTGGAAGCCCCTGGGATCCACCTTGAACTGAGGCTGCAGAATGTTTCCAGCTCTGTGGCTGCTGCCTCCACTCTGTGCAACGTACATGAGGCTAAGAGAGGAGTCTTCCCAGACAGCAGGAGAACTGGGACCTAGATCCACTTTAGATGTCACCCCTGGAGAAACCACTCCCCATTGAGGAGTGGGGAGTGGTCTTTTGAGGCCCTAGCAGTAGTGAGTACTTTCTCTTCAACCCACAAAGCAATGAGATCCACCACCTCAGTACACGTCCAGGTTGTAGATGGTTTTTAAAGTGATCCTCTGGCTCATCTCCAGGGAAGTAGATAGCACATAGGTAACAGGTCCTGCTGTTTGCAGAGGTGCTAAAACATGTAGCAACCTGATGAGGTAAATGTGAAGAGGATGTGCATACTCACAGCAAGCAAGCTGAGAACCTACTAGTGCTCAGAGCCCAGCAGTAAACTGAAAATGCTCAGGTACTCAAAGCTATCAATCCTTGGGGGTGGGAGGGGATGTTGGCTTGCAATCCGCACCACTCCCTGGGCAGCAGCATTCAGGGGGCTTGCAAGTTTGCCCAGGGAACAGAGGAATGGGAAAGGCTGGGCCCAGAGCAACCTGGGATGATGGAAGAATGAAAGTAATATATTTAATTGGTGCAGAGCATCCACACAAATGCCTGGAATGACCTGGGCAAAACAACTCAAAGATAAACCCGTGCTGCAGTTACATAACTCTGAAACAGAGGATGCTTATGGCAGCTTTAACACACCTTAATCCAGGGATGTGCAGAATATGGCTCATGGCCCATCAACTGGCTGCATCTGGCCCCTGGCTGCCCCACATGGGGATCATCTGTCCCACTCCTGAACACTACTCCTCACCTACCCAAAGCCATTTAGGGAGTTTTTGTGCTGTTGCAGGGAGAAGAGGGAGGGAGGCTGACCCAGCCTGTCCGGCACATGACAGCTCATCAAAACTCCCTCTATGGCCCTCGGGCCCAAATAATTGCCCACCCCTGCCTTAACTAATGACTGCTCTCATTTTAAGGGCTAGTATGTTAAGGTAACCTGTGCCAACACTCTTACTCTTCTTTGAGATGTCCTGAGTGAGTCTGGTCACTGCCTATTTCAATGGGAGAAGACACTCTTCCCCAAGCTGTTGGGGAAGGGTTGCTTTCTAGTGTTTGAAGAACAGCTTTTTACCACCCAGAGGGTTGACACATTGCAAAGTCAAGAAAGTGATAATATCCAATCTCCACCACGGAAAGATTCAACAGTTCTTTAGACCAGGGAATAAGTGTTTGCATTGCCTAGTAAAATAGGGCCCTGTTCTTAGATAACAGTACCTCATTTAAATAGTCAACCTAATCTTGAAATAAAACTTCTATAACAGCGCACTTGAAAAACCATTTTGAGTTGTTTCATCAAACCACAAACTGTCATTACTGAACTTTAGAAACATTTCTCAGAGTCCTCTACTAGATTTTTATTTTCAAATAGCAGCCTTTGTTTTCTTCAAGTATCCTAAATACTTGATTTGCAAGGACAGCTGTAATGTGCTACAGCGTTCCCTTTCAAACCAGATTAAGTTCCAGTCTGCTTCTTTGCTCAAAACACATTTAAAGACTAGAGGGGGCAAGGGTTCGTGTGGGTGACATCTTTTCTTCGACCAATTGCATAGTTGGGATAGACTTAGACAGAAGAAAACACTGTATTCAAAAGCTTGTCTATCCCAGCAATGCAGTTTGTCCAATACAGGATATCACCCACAAAAATCCTTGCCTTTCACATACTTCCTGAACCATTATGGCAACAACACTGAAACTTAAAAGAACTTGCCTCTTAAAAACTGTAGAATAACAGCACACACTGTAGTGAATAGCCTGAAGCATTCTTTCCATTTGGAAAAGCTTTCCTTCATTACTCACAGTTGCATTAATTTGATGTTTTGATGATGTTCAGATAAATACCAGAAGTGCCTTTTAACCCCTTTGCAACATATTACTTACTATAAGTTGTCCAATAGTTTCCTGGGACATTTTAATTTTTAGTAAGACAACAGAGCTTACTGAATGGGCAGAAAGGCCTTACTATAGGAAAGTACAAGTGCCTATCCACAATACGAGTGGAAACAAAATTAGGTTCCTTATCATCAGAACAGCTTGTTCTTAAGGAGCAAATGCAAAACCTTATCACCTACTGTATAAAGTGATGCATTCAACCTAGTTGTCTTGCTGTAAAGCACCTGAAAAAGATAGCAATGTTGTTACACAATATGCAATGCAAAAATTATCTGCTTAATGAAATGGTTGTGTAGCTGTCTTCATGCACTTCATTGAAATATTCAAAAAAAAAATCACTCACCTTCTACCTCAGGTTGTAGTTTGCTATTTAGTTTCTATAAACTGAATGGGCCGAGGCAATTTCAAAGTGTCCAACAGTATCCTAAAGCACGAAGGCCAACGGCTGTTTGCTGCACACTAAGGAAAGCACTGTTGGAATGGTATCTCTATTAGAGGTACCATTTTGGACTCTTGCATTTGTCCTTCTGTCTTCTGTAATCAAACTTACAAAAAGTTATGCTCTAGCTTCAAAAGACTGGCTCTTTTATAGGTACATTTAACTGTTCAGATGGTGTTTACATATTACAAGCTTCTCAGCAAGAACTGTTTCCTGATCCAACAGGCAGCTCAGATCAGAATTAAGCTACTGAATTCTAATGCACAGGGGCTACCATTTCAGTTTTGGCAAAAACAGAACCAGACCTTCCCCTGACCGTACAGTATTAACAACTAGTATAAGGGCAGCAGTGGACCTTTTCCTGTTTTTACATCAGCCAAATCATGTACAGGATGTGAATGAAATTTATTATGTGCTTCTTACACAAACCCGAATGACAGAATTTGATACAAGCTGCTTTTAAAGGCAATTCAGAAAGTGTCCTTTAGATTTTCTCTTTGCTGTCAGACAAAAGTGCCTGTAATTCCACCTCTAGGTATGTGCGAATGAAATGCTGCTTACTTTAGCCTAAAAAGAAAGAGGAAACAAATATTGAAGGTTAAGAGTAACATGTTGGCTTTTTAAATCCCCATCACCCTTCTTGTGTAGTCTCAGAGTATCCAAGTAGAACTGGCTTCAACAAGATCCTCCCCCCATTAAACAATAATTTGCAGATTGTAAGGAGAAATCCAAACTTTGTCTAAACCAAAATGCCACTGAAACATTTGGCTCTTCAAAAGGATGTGAACATATGTGTGGACAAGAGGAAGGTGCATGTATAAGCTAAATCCAATCACCTTCTTCACATTAAACAGATTTCAACAAGACTGCATACAATGCAACTCCTACTGAACTGTTTGTAAACAGTAATTAAACATTCCTCTGAGATCTTATGGGAAATGCTTAGTGAGATACAGACTATTGCTTGACACAAACAACGGTAAGGGCAATCCTTAAAATTGTGTCTAGCATAGGTGTTTGCTATCTCTAGCAAAGCATTGTTCTATCCTTGGTGGTCTGATAGAACTGAAATGTGCCTGAACTGGCCCCCCAAGTCAGCACAGGTAAAATTCATAACACCTGGTTGTTTCAGATAGCTATCTGTCTGATTGTTATCACTAATGAGGTAGGAAATTTTACCTTCATGACCAATGGAGACTGGATGTACTATTGCCCCTTCAAATACATTGCTTCATTTTGATCCAGCTGCCTCTAAATTCAGTGCAGTGCTGGTAACAGCTTGGATCAAAATGTATCTAAGCAAACATCTTGTCAGTCTTTTCATAATTCAGCAGTAGGTTCTGAATCCTTCTTTCCACTGTGCCTGGACAGTGAGCCAGCCTGATGGAGTCCATGGGACAAACCAATGTAACTGGTGTTCTAGGACTCAGAAGAAAACAGACAACTCCTGAGGCGCTTGTGGGTGATGCCATTTGGCTCTTATGACCAGAAAAAGGGGGTTGAGGTATCTTAAAAAGGTTATTTTGGAGTTCTTGCCGATAGAGGTAGTTGCCCCTACCGAATGCAGGAGACTCCTGTCCTGTTCTCAAGTTCTAGAGTTCTGGCAGAAAACTTTGGTTTCTCTCTAACGTTTTCTGCAAAATCCAAGCTTATTTAATAGCTTTTAAAGTAGAACCTTTGGAACACATTTGCTGCATTGTTTATAAATTCAGGTAACAAACTTCAGGCACTCTTCTTTGAGCATTCTGACAAGCTTTAAGAGTTTGGTGCTAATAATGCCAAGGTCACAGGTTTGATCCCTAGATGAGAGGTAGGCAATGTTTTTTGGCCAAAGTGCTGAAAAAAACATGTCTACCTTGAAAGGTGCCAGAGTGCCGACGTGCCAGAGCCTGGAGCAGCTGTTTGCAGCCTCCCAGCTGCAGCCAGCCCACAAAGCCCAGTCTGCTTGCAGCAGGGCTTGCAGTCTCCCAGCCGCTTGCTGGAAGCAGCCTGGGCTCTGTGGTTGACAGCAACCGTTTAGAGCCCAGGCTGGCAGTGGTGTGCTGAGCAAAATGGTCTTGTGTGCCATGCTCGGCACGTGTGCTGAGCAGGCTGCTGACCCCTGGACTAGATGATTTCTTAAGGTCCCATCCAACCTTACTTCTGTATGAAACTAACTGGTGTTAAACATGCAAAGCAGCATATAGAGGCATTGTGTTTTATATAAGCATGTAAATTAAGAGTCAATTTGCCCACCTTTGGAAAATGCAGGTATCACAAGGATGGGGGATTTAATACACTTACCTACCTTGGGGTTGTGCCACTGTCACCGGGAATTTTTGTTTGGATATGAATTCAGGAACAATTCAATATATCTATGCTCTGGGAAGAAATTAAACAAAAGAAGTTTAGTTTATTAAGCTTCAACACCAAGATTAAATACCTTATTTACCTGAATCCAAGATTATTTAGAATTTAAGACAACCTAATTATTCATCCCACCTCTCACTGCTGTGGCAGGGAAAGCAGTGATGGGGGTCCAGGGGCAACACCCCTTCCCCTTGTCCCAATATGCCTGCCCCTCCATGCCTGCACCTGCCTCCCATCCCTTCCTGTCCCCCCTACCTCCTACTCCTCCTGCAGCCTTCCCCACCCTTCCCCCCACTGTATGCTGCAGCTCTACTCTTCCGGGGCAGTCAGCAGCAATGCAACCCTAGCTCAGCCCAGCTCACCAGGGAGAAGCAGCAGCTCCCTACTGGGCACAGCTGCTGCAAAGAAGGCCAGAGCAGAAGGTGAGGAGGGGAGCAAAGGGAATGGAAGGGAGGCTTGCAGGTCTCATCCTTACCTCCAATTTTCCCACTTCACCTGGCATGTCCCCTCCCACAACCGAACAAGCTATTCCTGTCTGGGGCAGGCAGCTGCTGCTGCTTGCCCTGGACTGGTTCTTGAATCCAAGACAACGCTATTTTTCCTCTAGGCCGATTTGGTGGGGGAGGAGATGTCTTGAATTTGAGTGAATAGATTACACATAGAGCATGTAACCAGGCACAGAATCATAGAAAAACAGGGCTGCAAGGGACCTCAGGATATCTAGTCCAACTTCCTGCTCAAGGCAAGACCATCCTTGTCTAAAACATCTCATCCAAATACAGTTTAGCACTGCACGATAAAATATTTCAGCCTCTAGAAGTGGAAGAAATATGCTGTATCAGTAAACAGCCCAACACCAGACAAGTAGTTCCAGATTACTGGAGACTAAAAGCTTAAAAAAAAGTAGTGACATCCAACAAGCACAGAAGCATGAACTCTACTTACGCATGTGTGACCTGTCCTTGACCATAGCAGCAACCGCATCCTTACGGCTCTTAAAGTGAACATCTGCTTCTCCTGTAGCCTTCCCGCTGGAATTATATTCCATGGTAATCTTTACAGGTTTCAAAGGAGCAAGAAACTGAATGAAAACACAAATGGAAGATCAAATACATAGCCTGTTTGATGCTGATCAGGTAAAAGTCTTGAAGTCAAGAGGAACCAATGGCAAGACCAAAGTGGCCTTTAACTCTCAAGCTTACTGTTTCAAACCTCATAGTTTCTCTATTTGATAGAATTAAGTGGTTTCAAATTTTGTTACTGTTTCACGTGGGAACTTAAATCAGCCTACACGAAGAAAGATGGGTGATCATTTCATTATGATTTAAGTTCTTTAAGGAATAAAGCAATCATGTTTATCGGTTGCCACTGAAGAGTTCAAAGTTGGAATTCCATGCTACCTGTCTCTCTTTAGGTAAACTGTATTCTACGTTGTTCTTCTCCAGAAAACCATAAACATCCAATAGCTATAGCTTTACATTGTGACAGGCTTTGGATACACTCTGAAACCAAGTGGATCTGGTAATAGGTGCAAAAGTTTTCTTTCCATCTTTCTTTCAGTGCACATCATTCACAAGAGTCATCTGTACAGAAGCTTCTGTAGAAGATTTGGTAAACAAGAGAATTGAGCCTCAAGCCAGCTTGCTTCCTGCTACCGTAAAGGCTGTTTTTCAGTTCTCCATTACGAAAATACACATATCTACACACACAAGATAGTCCACCCAACCTTTACACTGCAGGTAATCCTTGACATCTGTTCTTTACTTAACTGTGCACATTCCCCAACTGAAACTTTGCTCTAGTCCCCTCTTTGCCTCCAGCATTCCATCCCTTTACCTTCCCCAACCCACTGGCTTCTTGCTAACAGAACTATTATGTCAGAAATAACTTAGCACCACCTCAGGACCCAACCACAATTTAGAACAGTTAGTTGTTTAGCATCAGAACAATGTCTGCTATCTTAGCACACCAATCTTGCTCAAGCCTTTGGGTTCTGCCACAAAATAACTGTAAAATAATTTAATATACAGGATTAGCATCTCTCAGCTATGGAAGAATTCCCTGCATTATAGTAAACTGGATTTACATCAGCAGCCTCAAGTGTGAAAAAGACTATGCATTTACCCAAACTCAATGTGAGAAATGCTCATTAAGCACACAGCACTTCCAGTAGTGCTGGAAGCTCCAAAATTTAGCTTCTGTCACTTTCAAGGCCTCTAAGTTTTTAGGATACTGATAATAAAAGCCTTAAAAATGAGGAGAGAACAGCCAACAAACAGGTCTCCTGCCTTTTTCAAGGCCTTTTAACAGCTACTTTTGCTTCATAGTTCCTGGTGCCCATTAGTACACAGTTAAATGGATCAGAGTTAAGTTAAAGACAATAGGACTGAAAGATGTTACACACTTAATAGCTTATGCATGTAACTGATAATGAGATAAGGAGATGTTTGTTATTATGTAACCAATAGGTGATGGGGACTGATGTGTTAGGCTGTTAAGCAAATTAAACATTTATCTAATATGCATATGCCTGGAAGATGGCATACCCTGCAGCTTACCACAGGTCAAATTACTTGTAACACAGGGTGCCAGAGAAATTTAAGACTGAGGCTTTCTTATCCAAAAGAGAACACTTTAAAGATGTTCATGGTACATAACACATCTTTACCCAAAGGAAAAGAAAACAAAAAAACAAACACACATCAATAAACGTGACATTCTACTTAAGGTATAGGGATTTCATTAGCTAATGAATCTGTTCCACTCATCTTCCTCCAACCTGGGCTTGATTCCCGCTCACAGGTTCAAAACCCACCTATTTCTTGATTTTCTAACCTCACAGAACTGTTTTCAGGTACTACCCACTTAAGGTACAGACTGGCATTTTATTCCAGCGCTAAAGAATACTGTGAAAATGGATGCGTACAGGCAGTCCAGTCCCCTGGCTAGAGAGCAAGTCACCTCAAAGACAAGCTCTCCAACCAGGGGGCAATGCAGAACTGCTCCTTTGCTCCCTCTCACTGCCATGGCAGACAGCCTGTCTCCAGCTGATGTTACATGGAAATCAGCTGAAGGTAGTGGAGAGGAAAAAGGAAGTCCCTAGTTCTGGGCAGGGGCATGCTCCCTGCCTCTGCCCCTGCCCTCCATACAGGTAAGTCACAGCTGCGCTCACTGTCCCACCTGCTGCCTTGGGACTATGACCACTTCCATCCTGCCTATATCTGGTAACCCCAGTTGCTAGTCTGGAACCAATGAGGGTCCTAAAGTAACCTGACCAAGCCCAGGGTCTTGGGTTTATACTAAGTTACTTCTAACCTAAACATCTGTTAGCAAGAGCTGACTGGCAGGACCCAGAGGGTGATCCAGAACTGTGCAGAGAACAGGAAGCAGATGTGCCCATTGCTGGAACTACCTGGAACTCCATTCAAACCATGGAAAGAAACCTGGCACCCCAATTAGCTAGTTAGCAGGATGGGAGCATTCCTCTATGGCTTCACCTATCTTAAGGAAACCCCTGGCATAGAGCCAGCTCTGTTCAGTGCTGGGGGGCATTAGCACTGTTACCTGAACAGTCTGGAGACTCTCCTGGTATTTAAGCAGCAGCAGCAGGCTCCTTGCAGAGCTCCCTGACAGCTTGCCAATGGGAAGGGTAGCAGGGAGCCAGTGCTCTCCCTCCCTCCCCCTTGGTGTGGGGGAAGGGAAGAAGAGTGGAAGACAATGGGATACTAAGTGCATCCCAGTACTGAGAGAAGCATACAGCCATTTAAGCTAATGTAAGAGGGGAGATCTGCTTGGCTGAAAGTGCTGTGTTTTTTTGTTTTTTTTGTTTTTTTGTTTTTTTGCAGAGAAGCTACGTCTCCAACACAAATAAAAACCCTTAACCAACTGTTGCTACTTTCTTGTACCAGGAGAAAGGCTTTTTTCCCCAGCACAAAGGTAACACCTATGCATAACCTTAGAAATGACACTGTGTTCTAAAGGCTGGAGCATTTAGAACAGAGGTTTAGCAATTCTCCATAAAGCTATACAATTTTATGGCTACATACGTTTATAATGTCTTGGGCACTAGCCTGGAATGGCAGGCCTCTCAGATGAACAAAATGCAGTAATAGATGGGGATTCCCACATTCCAAAGCATCCTCAGGCTTTTCACTTACTTCTCTGTAAGGTTCTGTAGAAGCAAACAAAAACAGTTACCTGTGTGCAGGCAAGCACATGAGGAAACAACAGCATTTCAAAGAACAAAAGGTGAGAACTGACCATTCTCTCTCTCACTTTCAGAGGTTGTGTGTGGTTTTTGAGTCTTCCCAGCTTCATTTGCTTCAAAGACCAATTCAGATTCTTTTGTCAATTTAGTGACTGGGTAAGGGGTCATCTTCCTTCTCCAGGGAGAGCTACTATGGGTTTGAATTTCACTCCTGTTGCTGGGAAATATTTCAATGTACCTAGATATAAAAGAAACAAAACAGACAATCTACCTTCATTCGGCTTAGAAAACGCACTAGATTTTCAAAAAAAGGCTGCTGCCTTGAAGACTGCCACAATAGATCCTATTCAATTTTGTTTTGGGGTGCTAGGTAAGTCTATCTTACAATTTACTGAACTGAAAAAGGTATCTGCAAGATGCATCAGAAAGAGAGTTAATGGCAGCCTCAGACCTCAAATAAGCCTCACGGGTGCACCTGGAGGCATGGCTGGGTAATTTGGTTACCAGTGAACACCTGCACAAGAGACAGGTAGGCGTTCTTCAAAACAGGGCTAGACAAGCTCAACAAGCAGAAAAGCCTGAGCAGGGAAGGAAAACGGTTCAGGAATGGAGCTAGTTCCTGAACTGTGTTGCAGACAAGGCCTGGGAAGGCAGCCTTCCATGTTGGCATTCTCAAAAACACAAATGGGAAGCTAGAAACATCCCAGAGAGACAAGACACTCAAACCTAACTTTACATCTTTAGCCTCTGAGGGTTTATCTCCAGTGCAAGTTGGGGGACCTCCAAAAGGGAAATGGGATTTGGTTTTGAGGACCAATCCTACTAAGGATACATTTTGAAATTGAAGACCACTGAAACCTTGGAAACAGATGGACTAAGTAGGACCTGGCAGGAAGACTGAATCACAGAAAAGAACCCACCCAAAGAATGGACTGGCAGTTAGCAGGGGGCACCAGAGAGGATGCCATGCCAACCATGGTGGCAAGGATGCACAGGGTCGTATATCACCCCTTCTACAACACACAACCTAGAAATGATAAACTCAGCCACTACAAATATTAAAAATAAAGATAGGGTTGAGGTACTT